TTTTATCATGATAAAATAAAATAAAAATAATCTTTAAATATTTTTAACTAAAGCATTTTTTGATCAATTTTAAAATGTACAGGTCCTTCTTAAAAATAGCATATTGTGATAAAGTACATTGTTTTGTGAGCCATAGCCAGGTGATGTGAGTATGAGTCACCTGTGAACCATGGCCATGTGATGTGAGTACCAGTCACCTGGAGGCAGGACATAAAAGCCTTAATTTGCCTGAAACTCTCAGACTGAAGAAGTCTCTTGGAAGAGAGACGAAACGTTTCATTAAAGAAGAACCCGTCCAGAGGACCTATACAATTTTTTTTTCCTTAGACATGAACCACCTACATTAAAACTTAGCAATAGAGAAGGAGCTATTCTTCATCTAATCTGGGCCAAATGGTAAGTGTGTTTGTGTTTCCCAGTTCTGGCCCACACAGATCTTGCTATGTGGGCATCATTGGGTGGTGAGGGTTATGTTTATAGATCTCTTTCAAACACTGGAACACTGATGCAAGCACAACAAATCTATTATTTGTGTGACATTGATATACAGAACTTGAAAATAAAAACTATTCTCTGGTACTGAAGTGTATTTAGTAAAATTACACAACATGACAAAATGTTCATATTTCAAGAAAATTGTGGGACTTTTTCTTACCTTTCTCAAAAACATGAGGAAATTGAGAGCCGTCCTTCTGTTTGTCCTGGAACATATACAGGCAATGGTCACAGTTTGAAAACTTAGCTTTTTAAAATGAAGCTGAACACTCAGAGACCTGTTTCTCCACAGATGCATAATATTTAGACCACCAGTCAATGACAGACTCTGCTGATTCATCAGCAATGGTTCGTTTCCGTCTCTTGGTGGAACGACGGACACTCTTATAATGACTCTCCTGTGTAAAAAAGGTAAAGTGTGAGGATTGTGGAAATGACAATAACAGCAAACAGATGAGGTCATTTTTACCCTCTTCTTCTTGGAATCGGACTGTGGTGGAGATGGCACAGGAGGTGGAGTTTCATCCTCCATGGTGATCAGAAACTCCTGGTTGGTGAGTGTTGCTGTAGAACTGGTCTCTGCAGCATCCTTTGGAACTCCTGATTAATAAAAAAGAACAAAACAATGGGCTCTTGCAAATGTTAGATTTTTTTTCTCTGATTTTTTTGTAGTGAATGAAGCTCAATGTTGTCTACACATTGCTCCTCACAAAATGGCCTCACAAATTCATCTCTTTAGCACAGATCCTGCTGGAACTGACCATTCCAGTGATCCTCTTATTCACTAGGACATTTAGTACAAGCAGCATTATAAAGGTCTGAAGAGACTCAGGAGTTATCTGACCGGATATCAAATGAGTTTTTGGCAAATGCGTTTTTCTTAAATGTATCCCCGATTAGACTTTATTTGATAAACATAAATTTTAACTGTAAAATAAAGACTGTAAAAATATCCTGATGCATCTCAGTAATCCAGGTAGAAATAAATATATCAAAAAGAAAAAATAAGTAGGTCCTCTAGATGGGTTCTTCTTTAGTGAAACGTTTCGTCTCTCCTCTCAGAGACTTCTTCAGTCTGATGAGTTTCAGATGAAACTCAGCTTTATTAGCACTGCCTCCACATGGACAAACAAGTTAGTCACATGCAAAAGAGGGCCATCGACTAACAATAGGCTTGATTAGCTCTATTTAGTCATATGCAAAAGAGGGCCATCGACTAACAATAGGCTTGATTGGCTCTATTGCTCATAGAGGGTCCTGTGCCCCATCACCTGACCTGTGTTGTGTTATGTGTATGTAGTGAATGCAAGCGGGGGTTCAATTGCTGCTTCATGGAAGAAGAACCTCAGCTTAGCCCGTTAGCCTTTGCGCAAACTCTGACGCTATATTGCCTTATATGTATTAGCTCGGTGCTAGCGCAACAAACAAGCTAAACTGTTGTCCTCCATCCATATTTTCAGTTCCAGGCTGATTCATTTCTACCTTCTCCTCTCTGTCAACGCTCTCTGGTTTCATTTAAAAGAGTCGATCATCAGATATTGTCCAAGATTAACCTTCAGGGTGGATATAGCTCACTAGCAGCTTCGCACCGAGGACCTATCCATGTCATCATTTACCCAGAATGCTTTGCATGTAAATAAAATAGCTCCGTCCATGTAATATATTTTTAAACTTTTAGTTTAAAAATTATAAGAACTACACAGCCTACAGTATTTTTAGAGTCTTTATTTTACAGTTAAGATATATGTTTATCAAATAAAGTCTAATGTTACAACTAATCGGGGATCCCTTTAAGAACATTGTTATTTTGTCTTGTTCTCATGAGCCCAGAATATTGTTTTATCCTGTGGAGTTTGTGTCTCGTTGCACCTTTAGTCAGACACATTTATATTGTTTTGCTCCTGCTCTGGTGTTTTTCTTTTTTCAACAGTTTTCTGTATTTTAACCACATTGTTAAATCAAACACAGCTCCATTTTATCAATCAAAGGTAGTAATGATTTTTTTTATGCTTGGAAATGTTTGGACAGCTGGTGTTAAAACTAGCACACTCTTTAACACACTTCTTGCCTTCAGCTCCAAATGTCTCCGGTGTTGGAGGTGGTCTGGGGGGCTCTGGCAACCGAGGTGGTTTGTGTATCTGTACGACAGGAGGTGGGGTTGGGGGTGGTGTGTACTTGAAGGCCTTGAGGTTGTTGATGATGTGATTTCCAACCAGGGTGCTGCGACCAAAGGCCCGCCAGTCAACAGCCGTGATACTGAGAGGAGGATGGAGGTGTTCCTTTTCTGGTAACTCCTACAGCAGAAACAGTAGGTATCTGTACTTTACTTGAGTAATTATGTTTCAGCCGACTTTTTTACTTCTACTTCTTACATTTTCACACAATTATCTGTACTTTCTACTCATTACATTTTTACAAACGTTCAGTAGTTTTTTTCCTATTTCATCTTGATTTGTTTTCTTTCTGGCTTGTTAATGTTAAAAAACTCCTATCCAAATAAATTGCGCCTCCTGGATAAAATAAATATATTTTTTGAATGAGAAGTATGAATATATACAATTCTGACACCTTATTGGTTTGTACGATCTATCTCACAACACATGACGTAAATTACGTCACACTCCAGCAGTACATAGCAAATGTATGTAGTATGTAACCTGGTATGAAAACGAGCATTACGTATGCAACTGAAACAGGTCGCCTAGTGCATCCCAAATTTTTCAACTTTAATATTTAATACATTATAGATATTATGACCTTTAGAAAAATGTGTTTTAGGAAGGTCACCTTTTAATAAATGTCATTTTGAAAATTCTAACCGCTCACTTTAACTCAATACTTTTACTTTTAATAATTAAGTACATTTTACATCAGAAAATTACTTTAAATGTCAGATACTTTAAGACTTTTACTCAAGTAGTATTCTTAGAGAAGACTTTAACTTTTACCAAAGTAATTGTATGGTGATATACTTGTACATTTACTCAAGTATCACCTTGAGTTACTTTATACTAGACTGCTTTCCACTGTCATCAATGATCTGTGCTGGATGGGAGACTAGTGATGTAGTGAAGATTCAACACAATCTGCAGGCTTCCTTTGACAGATAACTTTTACTGCTTTACTTTATAATGTTTGTGAAAGTTTCTGCCCTGACGTGCACTGGCACTGGATTGAATTAATGTGTTGTAAGAAAGAACAGTAAGATGACCAAGTGGTTGAAGGTAATGTGTCTATAATTATAAACAAAAAAAGTATTTTATGTTCATGCTTCTTGTAGTTAAATAAAAACTGAAGTAAATGTAAAATTTTCCAAGAGTTTTACCAAAGTATTCACATGTTTTGCTAAGTGTGGCCAGCAGTTTGTCCAGGTGGAACTAACAACACTAAACTTTTCTTTTTTGAATGCGTGCATTTTATTTTAATGTATGTTAGTCTTACCAGCTCTATGGCATCAACCAGGGTGGTGAAGTTTGGGTTGGACTTATACTTTTGAATGACAGAGGAACGGAGGGTTTTACCTGCACACTCGATGAACACCTGGAGAAAGAATAAATATATATTATATTTTTTGCTGGGGGCGGGGGGCCTGCAATGTCTCAATACTCATCCAACCTTACAGTTAGAATTAAAGTTCCCTGAAGGAATGCATATCGTCTGCTGGCTTTCATGTCA